CACTTAGCATTTAAAATACAAAAGGGAAATCTATTTTGTATTTTACATTTGAAATCACAAATCAAAGAAGTATTTACATTTTACATTTAAATAATTTTAAAAAACCATTTCGCATATCTCTAGTAACTGCATATATGAAAATCCCCAAAATACTAATTACAAAAATTTTTGTGTAACTTTACCATCTGTTATAGGTGTTGTATTAATGAAATTCTAATATACGTTTACTAAATTGACTCTGTTTATTGTTGATTTTTTGATTTCAGAATATTCGAACAATTTTAAGCCTTTGCCTTTTCTTTCATTATTAATCGAGTTAACAAAATAATCATAATTTATGCTCATATTACACTTTTATCTATTAGATTAATTAATTTGTGTTCCTTTATACGTATTTTTAAGTATCTACCAGTCTTACCGATGTATAAGCATCACAACTGTCACAGAACAATTTAAACACCCTGTACATGTGTAACAATACCTGTTCGTTGAGTATCAGAGATAGTGTTATGTTCGTTTCGAATATTGCGTGTTGTACGGTCCAGATAAGAAAACAATAACTGACACCTCAATTTTCCATGGCTGAGGTGATTTGCGACCTGGTTTTACGAGGTCGACTCATATATCGGTGCTTTATTCACGATTTTTCAACTTGATTATTACTTTCACCTGAGTAAACAACTAATCAAACACAGTGGAATATACTTAAGTACCAACTTTTTAAGAAAACGTAAACAAACCACTGATATCTTGTAACGTTCTACCTCCAGATAACGTAATTAATGGGCACATTTATGTAAGAAGTTGAATAAAACAGAAAAGCACAAAGTTGTACGTAATAAACGGAAGTAGGGTAAGCTGTTTCTAGTTGGTCGAGGCACAGCAATTGGTAAATGTATAGTTAAGACGTTCGAAATTGGCATAGTATGTAATAAAACTGTCGCATTTAATTTCTTCTTCCAATTTAATAACTAGACTAGAGCGGTTGCTGACGGAACGCCTACTTTTACCTACTCACGACAGACGTAATAGGGAATATCGTAAGCATAGAAAAGAGATGCCAGGTAGGAATTGCAGCGGACACTAATACGATAAAGAAAATGGAATAACATTACACCAATTGATGTGTAACAGAAAGACATGCAGACAAGCAGAATTTGAGCATGTTGACAGCATTGGACCTTAAGAAAGTTTACGAATTTAGGGAAGCAAAAACGCTTGTTTAAAGATATAGTTCCAGCCAGGTAGTTATAAAGCCGACCCTGATCTTTTGCTTACCTAAGCAACCTCTAACTGCACCGCTTAATATTATTCCGTTATCTCTTTTCACTTTATCTGTACTACTCATGAAGCATTTCCTAACTTATTAAAGGCGTTTTCAAAACGCTAAAGGAAATTAAAAAGGCGTATTATAAGTTTCAATATTCTGTAGAAATTTCGTGGTATCCGCTATATTTTATGTACTTAGGAAATTATGAAAAGAAGAATAAACAAACTGTTTGGTTAACAATATTAAAAAAAGCATTTTCTTATTCTCAAATTTCGGAAAAATTCGTATTTAAGAGCCTTCCATAGAAGCATCGATCGATTTCATTTGGTTATAATTTGTATGTTTATCTAAGTTAATTTCAATGTACTTTGACCATCTTCAGTAATTACCATTTGGAATACAGCCAGCCATTTCATATTAAGGCTAGTTTGTTTTGTATTATTATAAAAGATGTATTCTGATTTTTGTACCGTGTTAATTGTGATGGACTACAATAGGTTTCAAAGCACCCTAAGAAGAAAACTTATGTACCAAGTTATCCAAATCTAATGTTAAAACACAGCTTTCGTAGTTCTTGCGCCGTGTTATGAAAGAATTATTCCAATTTTTGTACCATGTCACTCGCGAGGGAATGGGAGCTATGGTAGGTTTCATAACATATTAGAAAAAAACGTTTTTTGTACCATGCTACCCAGCGGTAGTGTTAAAAGTATTC